AGGTCCCGCTCCATAAATGACCTTGGAGCGGTGAAAACGGCTTTAAATTAAACCGTTATCAGAATAGTCTTGAAGAAAGCGGCTTACTGTCTCAGATAGAAAGGAAATTACAGGCGAACATCTAAAATTCCTTTGCCGAAAGGCACGACCCATTACAAGTTGAACCTTAATTCGGGGGCTCTCGTTGCCCAGAGCTTAATGTGTTCGCCTCTCATTCAAAGGTCCCGGATTCGAATCCGGGTAACGACGGGAAAAAATTCATCTCTAAAATTGTCTTCTTTCATCTCCTTTCCTGTTCTCTAACAATGTTCTGTCGTCTGCTTTCGTCTCCCCTTTCTGCCCCAACCCCCTTGGCCTTACCTCCTTTGCCCCCTCCTCTGGGCTCCTGACTATGGGCTGCCTTTCTACTGCTACTCCTTGGCTCCTTCTTACTGCTGTCTTTCAGCCACACACCTGATCTTCTGGTAGCAAAGATCTACACCTAGCCTTCTCGGACAAGGGCGAAAAATCTCGGAGGTTCCGTGTGCAAGTTGAGCACGTTAAAGATCCCCTGGTGTTCTAAAATCGACCAGAGAAGCCTTCGGCTGTCACCCAGGCAAAATTCAAAATTTCCTACCAACTGAAAAATATTTAATGTGTCCCGCACGCTCATATGATCTTATGCAATTGCGAGCACCGTGAAATACTTACTCAAAAAAATAATAAAATAAAAAAATGAAAAGAACGCTCATTCATTCATTGAAAAAAAAAAGATTATAAAGATGGCCAAAGTATTGTGGTGACATATCACCTAGACTTGTTTGTTTGGTTGGCCTGCTTTGTGTGTGTGTGTGTGTGTGTGTGTGTGTGAGTGTGTGTGTGTGTGTGTGTGTGTGTGTGTGTGTGTGTGTGTGTGTGAGGTGTGGGTATTTGCATGTATGTGTGAGAGAGGTAGGACGGAAGGGGACTGTATAAGGTTAAAATATAACTAAGCATTACAGCACCACGTTTTAGGGAGGATAAAAAAAGAAACAGTAATCCATAATCCAGAAGACTCTTGACCGATCGTGTTTTTACGAGG